GTGCTGAAAAGGGTTCTTATTTTTTTCCTACAATATCATTTAAGGGAAGAGAGAAAGCCACACACTTGTTCCTCTTTGACTTTTTATCTGTTGCAAAGAAAAGCATAGTGCTACTACTGTAAAATACTAATCCCATTGCATCTGTTAAATCACATGTTCAGCATGATTGGCTATTTGTTTTGGGCTGACAAATTTTATCAGGATTTAACAGCATTCCTCTCTTAGAAGAGGGGTAAGTTAAAGGATATCCCATGGGCTAGTCACAAGGTTTTAAGTTCAAAGCCTATAAAGCAGCATTAATGCTGGAGTTCGTGCAGCCTGTTTAAAACATTATTCTTGGTGAAAACTCTGCAACTATCATTTTATTAGTTAACAGACCCTTAGAGATAATTTGCAACTGGGCCAGAATGGATATGTTTCTCCTGTAGACCAGATCTGTAGCTGGCAAATTTCTGACACTGGTGTTTTTGTCAATTAGCAGAGTTGTAGCATTACTTGATCTTCATGCCTTTCCCAGTACTCCAGAGCAAATTGTGAAGGAGAGTTTAGAGTGCGGGCTACAGAGCTGTGAGCTTGCTCGCGTGCTCTCCATCCCACCCCCACCTTAGTGTAAAGTTCTCATGCAGAGAGAAGCCTTTCAAAACGATTTACAGTGAGTGGATGGGGAATGACGGAGGTAGTAATGAGATACGGGGCTTTTACCACTAAGTCAGTGGTGTGGATCCAGCCCAAATTGCTGTTGACCTAAAGTCATCCCTGTCTGACAGCTGGTTCCCACCATGCTGCGGTGGCTGCAGACAGTTCTTTTAGGACAGGTGTGAACCTCAGAGGGACCCAACAAACAAGCATGTAGAAGTACTGGCTTCCACTGGAGGGACTGCGGTGCTAGAGCAGAGCTAAGGTAAAGAAGTGTGAGATGATTGCACAGGCAACAAAACTCTTCATGAAATAAATGTATAGTCTTTAATGCTACCTTCTAGCTGTAGGGGTTCTGTCTTTCAAAGTGCTTCCAGTTACCACAGAATCAAGTATATCACCTGGTTAACCAGTAAGTGGTATCTAGTAGAAGGGCTGCTGATGACAAAACCAAAAAAGCACATATAAGCAGGGAAGTAGAATGGGCCTAAAATGAGGGTGTGTTTTATTCTCACTTTTGCAGTTGAGCTGAAGAACAAAGTTATTATCATAGGTGAAATTAAATTTGGACTATTTTTTGAGAGATGCAGTTTAGGAGCATTATAAATATGCAATAGTCAGCATCTAATGTCTGTTGAGTTTTATGAGTCTGGTCCAAAATCCACTGGCATTGATAGGAAAGTGCCACAGTTTCCAGGGAGTTTGAGCCCTTCCTGAGCTAAGAAAAGATGCAGATTTATTTTGGGGTGTTTTCTGTTTCTCTGAGGAACTTAGCAGCTAAACCCTATAAAATGAACGTAGGTTCA